AGAGAGAGAGAGAGAGAGAGAGAGAGAGAGAGAGAGAGATCTTGTCAGGGCTGAGGGAAATCCATCCTCTGGAGCAGCTATGAGTAAGGAGGCAAGTTTAGGGTGTAGCGGTAGGAAGCATCATGGTTACGATTTTGAGGGTTTGCATCAAGAAGAAACTGGTGCCTAAATCCCCAGAGGAGTATTCTTATTGGACTGTTATAACAAAAACAAGAGAGCTGCAGCTAAAACTTGCAGATTCCAACCACATTTAGATGAAGCTAAGTTGCTTTGATTTCACTGAGATGCATTTTCAAGTAGATGTGTTTGGGATTGCATGTTAAGCTAAAATAATCAGAATTCTTCCAGAGAAGGCTTTTATGGAGCTATTGTGCTGCTTCCTTCATGGAAATTTACAGGGATCCCAGTATGACAACACCTTCTACCTGCATGCCTATATCTGTGTTTTTCCACCACTTCTCCCGTCTGCTTTGTTAACCCAGAAAACCAGTTAAGGGGAAGAGGATGGAGCAGCTGCATACAATGCCTTTTGGGTAGGAGCCCTCTGCCTGGAAGCAGGCAAAGTTAACGTAAGACCCATTGAGTTCAAGAAATCTAACCTAATGATGACAAAATCTGGGCCCAAGCAAACAAATTGATTATGGCAGGAGGTTTAAATAGAGCATGATCTATTGAAACTGCCCAGAATCCTCCAAACTCAGGATTACAGGCATCCTGGGCAAAGTGGGAGGAATGTAGAGGAAAAGCCTGCAGAACCCTATACCATTATAGATTAGGTAATTGTTGTTCTTTTTGATGATAAAACCAACTAGTTTGACCAAGGTTACAGCTGCCAGATACATCTATTTGAAATAAAAAGGAGTTTGTTTCAAGTAAATGTGTTCATGAACAGAATTCCACCGACATAAACTTTAAAAAGTAACAAGCTGGGGTTGTTACTTTTATCACCTTCAGGAAAAGAGCATTTTTCCAAACGCCTTGGTATTTCCTCCATGGTGGCCTATTATTTGTGCCAAAGTCTATTTATGTTGTGTAGTAGACAAACAATTCATGCATGTTTTGCTATTTAAAGTTAACCTATAAAAACAAGGATAATGAAATATAAATAATGGGAAGGTTCTCCAGAATTGTAATAACTGCTTAGGCTAATAAGGGGCAATCCTATCACAAGGATGATCAGTCCCTGAATGCCAAGGCAGCATGTGAAGGTCAACAGAGGCCATCTTCATCTCCCTGTCCTTGCACGCGGCATTTCTGCCAGATGGCTTTTTTGCTCACCTAGCAAAAGCATTTTGGAACAGAAGAGGCTGGAGATGCCACAGGGGAGCTCCTATCTTGGCCTCGCTAAATAAATCCCTCCTTCAAGGTTGTGTTCCTGACTTCAGAGAGGCAGTTGCCATGGTTCTTTCTGTGCTGGCTGCCAGGGGAAGGAAGTTTGGTAATGGATGACCCCTGCTGAGGTTGGAGCAATCTCCAGATTCTGGGAATCTGAAGTATCCTGTGACTTCAGAAGCTCTCTGGCATCTTGTATTGTCCAGATTCCCAGCTTCAAGGAGGGAACAGCTCCAAACTTGGAGCTGGAGATCTGCACTTGGTTTGCTTCACCTGCCCTTTGCAGCTAGGATGGAAAGAACCCGCCAGATGCATCTCTGAGGTCCTGAGGGTGACCTTGGAGAAAAGGTGAAGAGGGTGTTCAAGGGGACAGGGAGGAGACAAGACCAGAGACACCAAGGTAAAATGCATCCTTGTGGTGTTCCAGTCTCCTTCCCTCTCTGTTTGAGGCACGGTAGCTAGACGGACAGGGAAAGAGTTTCCCTTTGCCCTCCCATTCTATATAGATTGCCTCATATCTTTCAAATTCGGAGGGCTACAGGCAGCCTCACTGGATTGCTCTGAAAGGGCAATGGTGCGTGGCCAGAAACCAATTTCCATATATGAAATCAGTGCATGAACTGGGAACCAATTACATAGATTATTGTATGTCTGCATATCTGGATATGTATCTGAGAGTCCCTTGGACTGCAAAGAAATCAAATCAGTCACTGCTAAAGGAGGAATATTGTTCATGGGATCACAAAGAGTCGGGCACGACTTTGCGACTGAACAACAACAACAACGTTATCTGCATGATGAGGGGCATCTGGATACAAAGCATCTGATACCATTCCACCGGTGCTGCAGAATGCGAATGGAAGTTTGAATTCCTACTTACCTTGCACTGTAAATCCTTACCCCACCAAGAGTGCAGTGAAATGGGGATGCCCACAGCCCTCCAAATCCAAAGGCCAATGTTGCTCTGAAGCAGCAGATTTCAGCTGTTTAGCTACTACACTTCAGAGGGGTAGAGAAGAAGACTGAGGCACCACCAGGGTACATAGCATCTTGGTGGCACCCATCTCTCACCCTTTTCCACTCTGCAGAAGTCCTCTTAAATTCCTCCCCCAGCGTCGCTCTTGCAACTATGAAGAAGCAGCCAGCACAGTTCTTTCTGCACCTGCTGCTGAGGGAGGGAGGCAGGGAGAGGTTTGGAATATGGATTCCCAGCTCTGTGGTCAGAGCTGTTTTCCTGCCTTCAAAGCTGGGAATCTGAAAAGTCCTACAGCTCTTGAAACACTGCCTAGGGGCAAAAGCATTGCTCTCTAACTCAGGTTATTTGCTATCATAGAATAGGCTTCCATGGAGGCTGGGAGACTTCTGAGTAAATATCTATAGAGAATCAGGCTACATATCTGTACACAGAAGCATTCAACTCAATGTGAACATTTAAATTAATGGGATTAAGCTGCCTCTATTAATCACTCACTAAAATTCTTTAAGTTCTTCTTTAAAACATCTGCTAATAAGATACAGTGGAGGCACAAATCAACATGATCCAATGAACCCCTTTCATGACTGTCTAGAAATAAAAAACAATACAGCTCTTAAATCCCATTTACCTTACCAAAATTTAGTCACTGTGATTTTTTACGAGACTGGACAAATTCTTTCATTTAAATGGATAAAATCCCCAGTAGGCAAATGTTAAACTATTAAAAGAATTGAAATCTATTTTAGCCTTAGAATAACCAATTGTTCATACCATTCAATTCATACCTTTCTAATAAAAGCAATATTAAATTAGAAATCCCAACTCAGGCAACAAACAGATTTTGGTCTTTTGAATATACCCAAGTATTTATATTATAGACAGAGCTAGAGATGTTGTTTTGAACAAGGTTGTTTCAAAGGGAAGTATTATTTAGACCTCAAACTTGCCTTCCACTTGACTTTAAGGCATAAGGTGCCTGCTACCTCACTTTGAACCTGGTCTTTCCATGGCCAAAGAAAGGACATGAAGCAGAGAACTGGGAAATAGCTAATGTGCCCCTAACATTTTCATCAACATCATATTCTACATATTCAAAAGAAAGTGTAATGATTATGTTTTCTTTTTCTTTACTCCATAAAGATAATTTAAGAGGAAGAGAGCATGGGAGAATTGGGGTGAATGTTCTCTCCAGTTTCCTAAGGTTGATATCCCTCTTTTTTCCCCACAAAGCAGTTGGCAGCCAAAGTTGAGAGGTAGACTTTTCCATACTACTCTGTAATATTTCAAAGATTAAATTTAGCTTGTTCTTGCTGGCATGTGCTGTCAAGTTGTCTCTGACTTACGGTGACCCTATGAATGAATGTCCTCCAAAATGTCCTACCCATGACAGCCCTGATAAGCTCTTCCAAATTCTGGGCTGCGGTTTCCCCTAATGGAGTCAACCCACCTCATAATTGGGGTCCTTTTCTGCTTCTGCCATTCGCTAGCACGCTTGCCTTCCCCAGCAACTCTCGCCTTTGCATGAAGTGCCCAAAGTAGAGCGCCACCACTTTTCCTTTCAGGGAAAGTTCTGCCTCGATTTGATTGTAATTTATTTATTTATTTATTAGATTTAGACCCTGCCCCTTTAGGGAAGATCACTCTCTTATTAGCAAGCTTAAGTTAACCCTTGAAGTATTATGGAGTGCTATGGCCACCTTTTTTCGCAGTCCCCCGTGCCACACACAGGCTGTTGCCAAAGACCGCAGTACCGAAAGGGACACCAGTAGCTGCTCATTCATTTTTGACCCTGCATTTAATGATCTTGTGGGGATCCTCTGAGGCACTCACATATATTACTTCATCTAGTATTTCTCTTCTTCCTTCCTCACCATTTCATGTTTCAGAGCTGTTTCTATATTTCTGGTAAGTTAGAGCAGCCAAAAGAAAACAAAACCCTATTTACCAACCCTTGATAAAGAGGAAATACTATTAGCACACATAGTTTTACATTTCAAATGTATTTACATTATAGCCTTATCATGACTGCAGAAATAAGATAAGTATTTTCTTCTGCCACACTGATTCTAAATATATATTTTTGGGGAATAAGGGAATTTTCTCATAGAAAGGGTTACTTTGAAAGTCAAAACATTAAATTAGCTTATGTAACAGTGTATAGGCCCAGCTGGCTGCTTCCAAACCTTGAAATGCTTAAAAGCAAGAATGCTGTCACAGATGCCTACACAGGGCCTATGTGCCACTGCTCCCTTTGCTTGGCACTCTCTGGGTCTGCAGGAGTCCTGGAATTTGGAATGTGGATCTCAGTTCTAGCCCTGTCCCTGAAAGTTGTTTCATGATGGAAGTAGCCAGAAAGCTACATCTATTAATTGTAAATACCATGTGCTAATTTTTAATTCTTGCTTTGGACCATGTCCTCTTTAAAATAGCACTACAATGTTGATGATTTTGTGCTTTACAAAACCTCTTAGTGAAGACAGAGGGATGCATGCCCAGGTATCGCCGGCTCATGTGATTCTGGGCTATACTGAGACACCAAAGGCAGGAGCATCTGTGACTTAATGATCTGAAACTCCCACTGAGTGTCTTCACTTCACCTTTTCTTGATGATCTACACCTTACCCTTTGGTGCATCTTCTTCCCTGTCCAGGACACCAACATATTTATGCCACTTTTTCTGCTTGTTTAGTTTGCTTTAGAATCTTCTTCATAAAAGTTCTGTGAATACACCTTAAATGAAAGCTTAGTCCCAAATTTCCCAAGCTAAAAGCTTCTAGATGTTTAGGATTTCAACTCCCAGAGGCACCAGCCAGCAGGAATTCTGAGAGTTGCAGTCCAAAACAATTCAGGTCAGAGAAAACTGAATTAGACTCAACCTAAAGTTGTCCGTAAGGTCATGATCCAGTTAAACCCTGGGCTGCAACTCTGGACCATCTCTCTTCCAACAAGCGAGTGTTCCTGATTTTAACATAACGCTAAACAACCCAGGGATACAGCCTCCATGGGTTGTTTAGCACCTCCTAATTGTAGCAGGGGTGATCAGGCAAAGGATGCCAGCCACTCACTCTCATTCAATTCATAACAACTTAGGGTTTTAATACACACTGGTTTGTGACAATGGAGACCAGGTCATAGTAGTTCATACTCCCCCCCCCCCCACCCCGCAATGTTATGTCCTTTCAGGATGTGTGTGTATGTACTAGAGTTAAATTCCAGTTACTTTTTATAATATCCATAACAATACTGCTGAAAAGCAGCTGCAGGGCAGCCTTTTGGTTCTGAAGATTCTTTATGTATGTTGCCAGCCAGAGATGACCCATTGACACATATAGCTGTATAAATACTGGAGAAGTGTGCCCAGGAAAGTCACAGAAGTGGGTACAGTACAGGGATTGGGTGAGGAGGCCGCTCCAGAGCTTTGCATAGACCTTTCCATGCAAGGGCTTCTGCACTGGCTCTACAGACAAGACAAAAAGCAGCACATAACACACACAAATGACACTTGCCTGTTCTACAAATTACTTACTAGGTTTGCATTTAAAGGAGACTAGGAGGTATTTAGTGATTCCTGGACATAGATCAGGTCCAAAAACCCGACTATTGACAAGGAGTTGGCAGGATCTCAGGTCCTGGCATTCATCCAGTACTTTCTAAAACAATGAGCAAAAAAGCATAGTCTTGAAAAACAGATCATGAAACTACACAACAATTCAAACTCTGACGTTGTAAGATCTATACAAGATAGCTGTTATCTACTAGTAAAGTGAAACGCTAACACTAAGATTACTGCTTGTAGTAATAATACAGTGCTGTCCAAGTCAAACAGTGTGAAATAACATGAATTAAGCAGCACAAATGCCTTGGTTCTATAGTGCAGAAAACCTGGTTGAAATCCCCACTAAGAGCTGCTTCATGGATTGCAAAGCAGCATATTCATTGGCAACATTGAACAGTGCTGATTTTGTTGAAGTGGTTTATTATCTTGGAATGTATCACGTGTGATGAGTCGGTCTACTTTAGGCTTTCAACCCACCACTCTACCAAGGCTTCTGCTTTCAATACTTTGTGGATTAAGAGTTTGGCTCTGGTGTTTTCTCCCCAGAGATTTTCTTTCTGTACCTTTGTATAAGTTCCATTACATAACCACTAGGTAGCACTATGATTCAGCTGAACAGAACAGTAGAGCAAGGCTTCATGCACCTATTCAAGGAAATACCAGATTTGCCTCACCAGGGAGAAAAATGTTTTAATGTTTGCAAAGCTCAGGAGAAGCCATGGAGGGTGACAGCATCATGTAAACCACCCACAAGCTATGCTAAGAACTCGTGTAGCTTGTGAAAATAGGAGGTAACGTCATAATTAAAAACTCTGGATAGTGGCTGTTGTTTGGATTACTAATGGTAGTCTTGCCCCAGCTCCAGTCTTGCCCCAGAAAACCACCACATCTGGGATGTAACTGAGACTTTGAAAAGTGCTAATCACTGAAATTTACATATAGCATGATTAATTCCTTGCCTAGAACAGGATTTTTTATCACCATAAATGAATTAATCAATAGGAGGGGTTGATGAAACCCCAGGTATTTGTGCACAGTGGGCTTACTGCTACTATTGATTTTAAGAGAAAACTTGTTTTTAGATATTGTTCTCAAATTCCTGGAAGTAGTACCTCCTGAGCAGAAATCAGAAAAGGATATTAAAATTTCCTGTAAAGCAGAAAAGGAGGACTGATGTCCAAAGGGTTATTACAAACAGATTGCAGAAAGTGGCACACCTTAACATCTTACATTCTATATTTAGAATACAAGCAAACAGTAGATTCAAGAGGGGAAAATGAACCTCTGCAGAAGCCAGTGGTGAATTCCTAATATATCCTAAAGGTTTACCTTGTTGTTATACTAGGTCAAAATCATTATCTGTTAAAATCTCTTAATATTTTACACTGAATGGCAATTAATATACAGAAAACCCAAAAAGTGGCCATGGATTATTTCCCTCTCCAATAAGCCATGGTGCCCAGGGTTTGGATGACACAACAAGCCATACTTGGGTGCACAGACAAGCCAAATGGTGCTCAGCACATGTAGCAAATAAAAGATGACATGATGGCTTGTTTAAACTGCAGTGATTTTATAAGTGATGCCTTAATGAGTTAAGGCTGCAGTCTTATATCACTTACCCAGTAGTACATTTCATTGAACGCACTGGGGTTTACTTGTGAGTAGACATATATAGGGCTGCATTGTTAATGCTGAGTTGGGTATGCAGCAAGATCTAGTGACGATTATATGCACAAGTGGAGATGATCAAAATGCTCAGGGATTAGGACAGATCTGATTTTTCTTTTACCCCTTCAGGGAAAAGGCTCCTACGTAACATTTTGTTCTTTCTGTAAACTAATACTGTGCCTGGATTGACTTTCTGTTCCAGAGAGAGTGAGCAGGATGAGAGCATTACAGTTGGTTTCCACCAATTTGGTATACTGCATGCATCTGAGATTTGGTAGAATTAGCCGGGGGGTTAAAGGAAAAGTGCCACACTTCATTTGAATTTTATGTGAACAAGACTGCATTTCATTGCATACTTCTCAATTGAGATGTGCAATTTCCTTGATAAATTTTTCAGTAGAAATCTTGCTAAATCCCCAGAGAAATGTTTAGACAAATTCAGTCCTGCTGTCATAACAGTAAGGATGCAAAGGACCTATCATGTGACTGCCCATTTTTATTAGGACAGCTGTACTTTCACATGGCCCCAGAGGTCATCTTTCAGCTGTTAGTTGCAGTGAAGAGCACACAAGCCATGCTCATGAAATCAATATTCCAACTAATATTATTTTACACACACAAAAGCTAGAAATCACACCAAACTATCAAAATAAAGCATTTGAACTCTTACTGAAGACTCTTTCTACAGATAGGCTGGGCCCCTGTATAACAGAATGGAATCAAACAGTAATTCAGTAAGTTTTGCATACTGGTTATTAGTGGTTATGCCACCATTGAAAGCATAGGGTTTCTATCTCCAAAAACTCGTGGGCTTCATTACAGATGCCACCTGCCAGTTCTTTCTGTGGACTGAACTCTATTACCACCTCTGGTAGCCTGAGAGAATGCATTCATATGCAGGAGAATCCTGAGCTGGTTTAACTCGAACCAAATTATGTGCCTTAATGTTTTTGAGAAGAAATGAGGACAGTCAGGGACTCCTACAGTAAAAGCATGCTCTATTCTCATTTTGAGGACTTCAAATTTTAACAATGTTACTTTAACTGCAATTATGACGCTATCTGACATACACATTATTTGTAACCAATTACATGTGCATTGTATTTGTATTATTTGTAACCAATTACATGTGCATTGTATTTGTATTATTTGTGACCAATTACATGTGCATTGTTATTTCTTCTATGTATTGCAGAGATCTGAAAATGTTTATCCTCAGTGTTCTGATGGGAAATATATCCATCAGAACCATGGTTAGGCTTGACAGAATTCTACTGGGTTGCGTAGCTGAGGAGAGAAGCTGGGCTCTTCTTCACCTTAGCTGAGAGACTGACTGCTTCTGGCTTACTCACCTAGCCAGAGCCAGGCTACTTGAACTGGCTTCCAGTTCTTCTGGCTGTGGTAAGAACTGCAGCTTTAACACCTGGTACCGAAGCTAGCTTGTGCTTGTCTCTCTTCGTTCCTTTTTCTTTTGGCATCATCTAGTGTCCTTCAGATTGCGTGTCTGAGGACAGCAGTGGCCTTATGGCTGAGATGTAAAAGCCATTCTAGGAACTTTTGGCTCAAGAGCTGCGTAAAAGGGCTTTCAATGAATGCTGTGTTCATAGAAAAGGATGTGTCCATGAGAGCCTGAATATTTGAACAAAATGACTGAACAAAATTCAATTTTGTTTGGAAACAAACAAAAGAGCAGGCTGAGGTGCCACCAAGACGTGAAAGTCTGATTTCTGATTGAAGTGTCATGTTATTCTCCAGACAGAACTGTTACTTGTGGAAGACATGGAGCATGACTGACCCTGCTCCCCAGGAATGTTCAGTTTATTAGATTGTTGTACAATTTGTTCAGCAATAAAATAGAAATAGGAGAAGGTGAATGCAGTTCAGACAGTTCTGTGTTTTCAGTATCAGCTTGTCGCTGTATTAAAGAAAATGAGTGGGTTCAGGACCAACGCAGAGGGCACCAATGGCAGCTAATTGCAGGCGAATGAAGGCCAGCTGGAGAGCGCAGCCTCTCTCTACCAGGTGCCCTCTAGGCGTGCTGGTCGACAACTCTGAGCCTCCCCAGCTGGCATACGTGACTGGGAACGCTCAGGTTTGCAGTGCGACCCATTTGAGGGTACAGGGCTGAGGAAGGCCATGAAATGGAGTCAAGGAAGCAGAGGCTAGACATTTGGACGGCTGCAAATCAGTCTGGGGCAGCTGCAAGGCTGTCTCATGTAAACAGGACCTCCTTTGCATGTTTTATTACTTATGAAGCAAAAGCTTGCATAACTTGGAAAGTCTGGCATGCGGTTTTGTGAGGAACCGCTTCCTCTTCTGGGGTGACCCCTGCTAGCTAACCCAAGCCATCTATTCCATCTTAGGATAGCAATCCCAGGAGGAATTGCAGGGAACACAGAGGGCCTTACTTGGAGGGACACACCTGATGGCACTGGCCATGGCCGCCGTGCGGCTCTTGGAAAGGAAGAAAACCTGTGGTTCAGCATTAGGCAAGTGGAGGAAACTAAGCCATGGGGACATCCCATTTTTCTAACAGCTTAAGCACATTGCACACTAATTTCTACTTTCATTAAAAATAAATAACCCTGATATATAAAATACTACAATGTAAGGATCATTCTGAATAATCCCTAACCTCAGGAAATGTTCTGGCCATGGTATAGCAGTTCTGCATTCACTGGCTTTTACTCTGTTTTGTGGTTTGGAGCCACGGTTACCACAGTCTTCCTTCTGCTTTCCTTCCTTTACTCTTCTTTACTCTGAGAACCATCAAGATCTTCCCAAATTAAAAATGAATCAAGAGAAGGCTCTTTACCTCTTTGCCTGCTGCAAGATCCTTCTATGGGTATTTTCATGGGGCCATTGTCCATTTTGCCACATGAATTGCAGCTGTGGAATTCTAAGCCTTTACACTTTCCTTTAGGATACTAGAAGCAAAGGTCATATATTATGTCCCAGTGTCAATACATTTACAGGATAAAATCCCAAGTACTGTCATGAAGACTAGTGAGCTTGCTTCTAAACTCAGCCTGAAATGTGAACTCTCAGTGTGCTTTATTGTGCAGGCCTATATTGCTCTACTCGGAAATAAGTCCCAATGGGACTGAATCACAGTTACTTAACCATGACATGGTAAGACCTACTTCTGAATAAACATGAAGAGGAAGCATTGCTCTGCACTTCATGCCAATTAACAGGATTAAAGATGCTACAACGTAGTGCTCTTTCAAGGTGCAGAGGCCTACTGTTGTTGTTTCATGCAACCTCTGTTTAGAGAATAACATGTCCATATTCTTCATGTTGCTGATTTCCTAAATTCCTCTAGACGTAGGCAACAATAGGTGGTATGTTATGATCATACAGGAGAATGTTTCCAGGTGAGGAAAATTTAGATACAACTGGCTTGTCTGGCATGATGAAAAGAGACGTCACAATTTCTGAAGTGAGGATTACTATGATTTGGGACAAAGTTATTGCCATCGTGTCTATACAATAGTATTTATTTGTCTATAGGAAGACTGTTAAGACTGGAACCTTTCCATTCTAATTGAGCAGTCAGATGTTTCGGAATATATATTATTGGTAATCTTCAGTACAGCTTAATTTTGATCAGGATTATTTGAAACTGGAGCTGGAACTTGTCTGTTGGCAGCCTAGATTTAAGTCTTTTGGGAAAGTCCATTAACCTAAATTCAGTGCCAAAAGCACTCCATCAAAACTAGTCGATCTGGCACACATTAATGCTGGAGCATTGGGCATGAATCTTAATAGGCATTCTCATTGTCTGGAGTCCTGTAGTCCCATTCTTATTGGCAAGAGTAGGAATCATACAACCATGGAGTCTACAATGACCCCCACCCACCCCCTGCCTGCACTTCCCCCAAGCTGGACTGTAGTTTGTTTGTGATGGACCGGGCCTGAGAAGCTTGTGCCACAGATCCAAATCATAGTGAGCCCTTTCATGGCTCAAGCTAGGATGATCCATGCTGCTGTTTCCAGCCGCAAACAAACCACAACCCGTTTCATTTAAGAAGCCAAACATTTATTTAAAAGTTTGGTACTTTAAATTGCTATTATTCGAGAATGATAAGATCGTAAGATAATTTTAAAACACATTCTCAGTGTCAGTCTGCATTAGCTCTGCATATTCCATAGGGACACCAGGATGGAGTGATTTAGTCCTGATAGCTGTTAGCATGGTTAAAAGTCCTTCAGAAATATGAACACCTACTCATCTGCAAAGCTAATGAACCCTTTCACCCACAGTGAGGCTATTTATATTCCAAAAGTAACACACTGAATATTAATGAATGAATGCTGCCCTTACTTTGCGTGGTAACGCATTACAACTAAGTAATTATTTAGAAGCACTATTCAGGTTTGTAAAATGCTATAACGTAGGATACCTGTAAGGTAGTAGATGCCACACAGTTAAGGGACTCGCTCAAGATGGCTTCAGGCTGCTGCATGCTACACAACTGGGGGGCTTGCCCATAATATGCAGACTGGACACTTATCGTAGAATGCCGAGGACACTGCAGACTCAAAAGATCACCATCACAGGCATGCGCAGTGTGGTTTCGCAGAAGTTTGGTAAGGTAACCTAGAAAATATTTAGCTGTGTTAATTTTAATGAGGAAATGTCATGTTTTCCCCTAACATTAACATACGATCTTGTGGCTTGATTAGAACAGGTTAACTGGTAGTTCAAGAAAACAAGTTGGATCAGAACTTAGTCAGTGAGTAGACCCATTGAAAGCAATAGGACTTGAGTTAATCATGGATAATGTAGGTCTACTCTGAGTATGACTATGGACCCAATCCAATGCCTTTTCAAACAACTATAATGTTCAATTAATGGAAATACTGATGTCCAAGGAGACCAAATTTTGGTCAAAAATAATCTAGTAGTTTGGGCCCAGATCCCTGCTTGGCCAGAAATTTTCCCTGTGGCCTTAGGAAAGTCATTAAAGGCATTTTTTTTCAAACATGGTGTGGTTTTATTTAATTGTATGTTGTTCTCTTCTGCATTGACTCTGATACCAAAGTAGCATTCATGAGGGCAGAATACTGTGATCAGAATTGTATGATCTACAGAAGATTATTTGAGGTTTCTTCCTTAATACAACAGATTGGATTTGGTGTTCTTCTGATCCCTTAATAAGAGTGAACAGGAGAAGAATGTTAAACACAGCCCTATTTATCAGAATATTACAATTCAGTTCAGTTCCTAAGCTGCAGGAATCAATTTACAGTAATTTTCCTATGGAGTTGCAAACTTGAAGGTTAAGTTGAATGAAAAAAGTTCCACTGACTTCTCCTTGACCCGTATTTCTGGCCACTGCATGCTTATCCAGAAATGTGAAGCGGAAGCATGTCCTCTAACCCTGATGCACTTCAAAGATGCATACAGGCAGCTGGGTTTGCTATCACTACTTCACTGCTCCTCCCACACTGCCTTCAAGTCATTGGAAGACTTGAAACCTTTTCCTCTCTGTCTGTCTGTCTCTCTTCAGGGTTGTAGTGTTACTATTTTGCCCGTTCCAAGGACACTGCTGTTAACTTCCTAGGCTGACCCTGAATTCAAGTATCATAACACAGGGAGAATCAGTTTCTGTTTTTTAAAGAGCTGTATGTTTGTTGCCCTAGTTTGGGAAGTTCAAAAATCTACCCTAAGAATGTTGCATTTCCATCTCTGTGTGCATTTAACTCACTTTACTGATCTATGAACACACCAGTAAAATTTAAAGAAGCATCCAGACTACCAAGGCAAAATGTGAATCCATTCACAAGCCCATAAAGTTATTTATATTTTACCCAAAGCCAAACAAATGCATGAAAAAACACATTTCAATATAAAAAGGTTTATAGCGATATTTTAAAAATATATTTACCAGCAGTAAAAGAAAAACAATTCATTTATCAATACTATTTTTTGATATAGCTTTGCTGCTCTTTTGTTGCTACCAGATTGGAAAAAGCTGCATCGGAGTGACTCACCAAACTCAGACCTTTTGCAAGACCTTTAATTTGGTAGGGAATGAAAAACAGAAGAATGGTGCATTCTAGTCTAGAACTGGGCAGAACATTATACTTACAATGAAATTTGATTTATTTATTTAAAATATTAATATCCCATCCTATATGTGGGGCATCTCAGGATGGCTTACAAGAACCAAACAATCAATCCATAGTCAAAACAAAAATTAACAATAATTAAAAATGTACCAAAATGATTGTAAGGAAAGGAAAATTGGTCCCAAGAATATAGGTCTCACTCCTACACCCCCTTACCTGGCCTACACCCCATGGCCTCAATGGGACTAATATGAGTAGGCAGGTTTTTACTGTTTGGGCAGTTGCAGATAATTATTTAACTACACTGTGCCATGCATCTGCTTGCTGCTTTCTGCTTGGCAAGAGGATGGCTCAGCTACTCTAGGGAGAAAGAACGAACCAGCCCTGGAGAAATCTGATTGTTTGTGCAGACCCAGGTCTGGATATAAATTTACTGGGCTGGATTTTCGCACCTCTCCTCCTCAGCACTGTATCTCCAGTACCCTGAAAATGCAACACAGAGCATTTGAAAATTGGGTGGAGGCACCACCTGTGAGTGGCACCCTTCTGCCAAGAGGAGGTAGAATCTAGATCCAACATGAAGGAAATTATTATTGTGTTATACATAAAATATAGCTATGAAGTAGCGTTGCTCGAGTCCCAGTTGGCTTTTTTAGATGGGGCATTTATGCTGCGCTTATGATTCCACACTCACTGTTTGCAGGACCTTCACATGATGCCACATTGCTCCAGGTTCACTTATATTATTTCAGAGCGCTTTCCAAGAGGTTTTTAAAAATAGGGAAATTGGAGTACTATATTAGAACAGGGAAAGGTGCTGTTTCTCCCTGTGTTTTGGAGCTATTCCAAAACACTATAGCTCCACCTAGAGGTTATGTAATGGAAAAGAAGGAAAGTAATTCAAAAACTCTTTGTTCAGAGCCTGGATCTCAACACTGAAAGTAGATACAGCTTTTAATAGCCTTGGATAGAAAAAACCCATGAAACTTTTAATTCACCATTTTATCAAAATTTCTACCTTCAGATTCTTTATATGATTAACTGCTTTACTTGTTTTCCCCTGAGAATTTTCTTTCCCTCTTTTTCCATTTCACACCCATAGGCAGTGCTGTGGTATAACAGAACCACACAATTACATGCTAGGCTATCCCAATTAGGAGACAGAAAAGATAAAATACTTGCAAAGCACTGGAGAGGTCCTGGAGAAGGATGACAACTGGTGTCATTCAGTGATTTGAATGTTGGACTTGGATTTGGGAGATCTGAATTATAGTCCCCACTCAGCCATGAACTTATTGGGTGACTTTGGGCCAGTAACTGACTCTCAGTCTAACCTACCTCACAGGGTTGTTGTAAGAATAAATAGAAAGGCAGAAGATTATATAAGCCACTTTTGGTTCCTTACAAGTAGAAAAAGTGGTGTATACATGTAATATCATTATTAATAATAATAATAATTCACATGGAGCATACAATAAATGCCTCATGTGGAAAGTTGATAAACTTGTCAGGAAAAGACTGGTAGCTGCAGCATCTTCCATCAGACGCCCCCTTCAGAAAAAGAATCAGAGTTCTCTGACTATTTCTCTTTCATACCTCCCTGCTGGAATTAAAAACTATTAAGCATTCATTTGTGCATGGCTTGGTGTAAAGTCAAACATTAAGGATATCCTCTTTAAGACACCTGTGTGTTCGCAGCATGGTTTAAAGGCAACCTACTTAGTAGAGTATCTGTAAGTTGCATCCCCTCAGGACACTGCAGAATTTGTTCTTAAATCTGTGACAGTTTAGGTTTCAAATTGTTTGGAAGCAAAAGTTCCCATGTACAAAGCAGCCTAGTATTCCCTAGAGAATATTAGCTATGCAGACTTTTGAATGAGTTCCCAAGCATCTTGACTGCTACTTTGATCCTGCAAATTCCTATTCCAGTATCTAAGCACTTTTTACCAACAATTACACTATTCAGTTCTAAAAATGCCTTTTAGAACAAGCCTAAAAACTCTCCCATTGCTCCATGCATGCAGGTAGCTTTTATTTGTTGAATAAAAAATGTTGTGGGCTTGATAGCAAAGACATTTTATCCCTCCAGGTGGCACTTAAAACATCAGTGATGTTATTACATTGCATCCATACTTGTACACAAAGGAGGATATAAATAGTCATGGGATTTGGCTGCTGCCCTTTGATAAGGAAAACTGGTGATGTGCTGGCATGTGGATTGCTTAACTCAGGCACTGCACTCTGCGGAAACATTAATAGCTCATAGAATACTCCAGGTCCCACGCTGTTAAGTCCCGCCTCTATATTTCATGCCCAGTTTGAGTTTCTGGGGAAGCAGGCAGAGCAGGAAAAAAGCCCCCATGCTCATAGCCACGTACAAAAGATCTTGGCATAACTGAAAGACTGAGTCTGGGCAATCTGTACTGGGCCCACTATCTTGGGGGCGGGGGGCTTGCAGAATATTGAACCTTTGGGGAAAGAGTGGGAGTAAGAAGGCAAGAAAGGATGGTGGTGGAAATGTGCTGATCGAAAGATTGTCAGGAATTCAATGATCTGGGGAAAGGGAGAACTGGTCAGATGCAGAAGTCTTATTTCCTGAATGTTAAAAGCTACACCTCAAATAGCTCTTAGGTTTCTGGCCCAGCACCTGCAGCAAATGTTCATCACAGCAATCATGAGGCTTAGATACTTCTTTTAAAAGTGCACAGTAATACTGCTAGGAAGCCAAATATCAGATTTCATTTTGTGTGGCAGTTTGGCAACACTGAATACATCGACCTTGTTCCCGTCCTATACTAAACTGCTTCCACCGTCCTTAAATTAAATTCCTCAACATGAGTAATTCTTGTTCGATTCAATCAATGGGAAGTAGAGGATTCTCTGCTGGAGTCCTCTTTAGTTGGAACCTTTAGCTCTACTTCTTCAGGAGAAGTGAACAGGATAAACAAGCCTCAACAGGAGCTTGTTTACAGAGAAATCACAGATGTTCACAGCCTTCAGAGATGGTGGTCCTTTTGTAATGCTAAGTCCTTCATGGACTAATAAGGTCCTGTCTCTTGCATCTGTATCTACAAGGACTGTTGGGAAGATTTCGGACAAAGAGTTACCTCGTATTAGCCACGTACACACCCATCTACATTCTTAATTGTTTGACAAAGGAAAGCCTCCAAGAAAGCAGCACTTCTAACTGGCTCAACACTTTCGTCCCTTTCATGCTGCTTCGCATCATCCATTATGCAAGTGCGGCCCTTTCAACGTCTGTTTGGCAAGCCCAGCCTCGAATGCCTCTCAAATCGCTCGTGAATGGACGAGTGGGACATGAACTATGGCTCTCCTTTCCCCCCAGCTATTGGCCAGATCAAAACAGAGGGACAGGGATCTCATTCAGAAGATCTCCCTTGGGGAGCCTCCCTCTGCTGTGCCCATGCCAGGATCAGCGAAACTCTTGTTTTTTGCCAGTTTCAAGAATTCCAATTGCAGCAGAGAAAGGAGAAGGATGGCATATTGGTAAACCGTGCTTGCCTT